ATGACTCCGCCCTAAGGACTCTTCAGAATTTTCGACACCACCACTAATATTATTACTTTTTAAAAAATCTAATTTCTGTTTCAATTTCTTCTTCTGATGGCATATCGGGATCATCAAAGGCTTCTCTGGTTTTGTGAAGTGGCTTTCAGTTTTGCTGAGCACTGTTTTGGATTTTGCATACAAAAATTTTCAACACGAAACGAAAGTTTTGAGCGTTTTTGAAAAAAGCGTTAAGAAAAACAATAGAATAATCCAAGTTTTTTGTATGCTGGACTACTTTGTGCACACAAAAAAAAAGTTTGCATGCATATTTTTGAAAATGATTGTTTGAGTACAAAACTTGTTTTGCGCATGACAAAAAAAAACAGCCAAAAGTTTTGAAACGGGCATTCTATTTTCTTTTGATGGTGGCAGTGAGCGTTTTTGGGCAATAGAAAAAGTATGATTAAAAATTTTTATGACGACACAACGCATTTGTAGGACAAAACAAGAAAATCAAAGAACCATTAGATTCGATGGCAGCAAAACTGTATGAAGTTCGTGTGATTGGCAGTTTCTTCATGCACGTTAATTATGGAATTGCAAACTATGGAAGTCAACCGGGTACAATGAGATCCTGCTCCATAATACTTGGAGTTGATTCACTGTCTTTGCGTGTACCAAGTTTCCTGAACTTAAAAGAAGTATGATTAAGATTGCAGATGGGACTGCTTGAAGTATAAGTTATAAGGATTGATACTATTCTGGATCATCGATTATGTAATGTACACTTTTCGTGTCCGTCGTCAGTGCTGTATAACGTTTTCATCATAGTGCTTATCTTACACTCAGTCGAAACGTATTTTAACGGTCAACTACGCTCGCAATATTTATTTGATCTAAAAGTTTCTTGGGAAAAGAAAGAAAGTTCAAAAAAAGGGGAAGCAAAAGTTTGCATCCTTAAGATAAAGAAAAAATCGAAGCGACTAAAATTGATCAGAGCTACACAAACTGATCATTGCACAACCTGATTTCCTGCTTTTTCCAAAATATTGTATTGTGTAGTGTTCAAAAAGCTCGTTTCCACCGTCTGCTATAATTAAACTTCACTCAACTTAGGTAAAGTTTCACCCTGATCAATTGTCCCGTTGAGATTTTTCACTACGCTTGTTTGAGAAAACCTTCACTCCGATGAAAAACTCAAGGCAAGTGGCAAAAACTGGAACTATCGGTCCTTAAAAGCAAAATTTTTGTTTTAATACACGTTATCTGTAAATTTTTTCCCAAAATCAGAACTAAATTTTTTCAAAAATAAACTTTAAAAACAAGTACTTTGGAGGGTATCAACCTAAAATTGCGGTTACTTTTGACCGTTATTGTAATTTTTGTAATGGTGACCAATTATTAATTCCGTAAGAATCTATTTTTTAAACCGCACTGTTCAATAATTCAAGATGAAATAAATCAAACATATATCGTTTAGTTTATTTCTGTAAAAACTTTTTTTTCCAGGGACCTTTTCTAAAACCTGTGAACATCAAATTGCTGGTCTTAGTTATACGAAAAGATTTGTGTTTTCTTGACAAACTTGCTCCAAAAAGTCGCTGTTGATATATCATATTTTGTTTACTGGAATGCATTTGTATAATTTTATTAATGTTCCGACTTTTGAAAAAAACAGGAACAATTATTTTGGGAGTTTTTTATTCGGACCAGTTTCTTAAAAACTTCTTAAAAATCTTTCGAGGGATCAATCCCTGGATGTATGTTGTTTCAACATATTTACATCGTAAAGAATACTCTTCGCCTTCTCGAATGCATCTTTTGCCATTTCAGCCATATCCACGCCGGGTACGCACATCTCTGTTTTCACCTGCCTCGATACTATCTAATTTTCACGCTTCATAATTTGATGCTGTAAATATACTCCGAAATATTTACGCGGGGCAAAAACAATTTTTTTTCGGCAATCTTTTTTCTTGTTAATTCAATGCGCTACTAAACTTTGATATTTTCAGCCTTAAATTCAGCCTTTTTTTCAAAAGTTTAATTGTCAAAATTTTTTTGCACAGTTTAGTATTTGCAGGTCACTGGTATCCAGAGACAAGTTATTGATAATGATCCAAATTGTAGATGGATTCAACTAACAAGAATTCCTTGAGTTATGCGCACAAATAATTGTAAAAGAAGTTTTGTCAGCACATTAGTTTTATTGCGGATTCCGCTATGAGCGAACATCGCTGGTTGTTCCGGATTCCGCAAAGGTAAGTAGATTCCGCAAATTCAAATGGGATCATCATTTTTCTGTAGACTTCACCTACAACTTGCCGGTAGTGCTTACAGCTTGCAGATTTCGCTTACAGTTGCCGATTCCGCAACAGCTCACTTTAACTATATACACGTCTTATTGTTTGTTTGCTGCTTCCATAAACTGGTCCGGATTCCGCATATACTGTTGCGGATTCCGCAAAATTGCCTTTTTTGTGGAGCGATTTTGAGCGCTACAGTGTTTTATCTCTTTGTGTCTGGAAACCAAAAAAAAATAGAAAATCAAAGAAAACAGCAATGTTACGGATTCCGCGACAAATTTGATTTTGGCTTGTTGCGGAATCCACTCAAAATGCACAGAATGCACAGTTTGGTCTCGTAATTGGTCGCGCAATTGCTTCACGCAACTCCTTCACTCTGTAGTCTAGCCCGTGTGGTGTCTGGATCTTCTTGATTTGATGTTAATGAGGTGGTTAGTTTTATACCGACAAGACTCTAGCGGAAAATCAAAAGTTGATGCAGTATGCAATCTGTGAGTATGTAACAAAATTTTTTCACTCTTATCATCGGATATTTCAAAAACAAAATGGTTTTGGACGAAAACTCTCAGTTTTGACTATGCTTTCAGTTTTGCTGAGCTATGTTTTGGATTTGGAGGGACTCCAATGATGTTGAACTACTAAATGGGGTTTTTCCTCAATTGTTACAAACCATAATTTTAGGACACCCCGTACAACCGAGAACCCTTTCTATCATTTTTAGTGCATCAGTTGTCAGTCAATTGAATTTCTCCAAAACACGAGTAGCTTCTTCAAGTGGGAGGAGCCGATAATCCAGGGACAAATGAATTGAGTGTCAGCGAACACCTCAGCGATAACACTCACGAGTTGAAATTAACTCAGCTCAGTTTCTCCGAAACAAAATTACGGAGAATGTACAATGCTAGGGTGACGGTCGTCTAAGAAACGCATGCGCTCGAGAAACGTTAACGAGCACTGAGAACTATAGAGTAAAAAGACCGGATTGTAATGACAATGAGTTTTATGACTTTAGCTTCAAACAGCCCTTGTAAAACTGTTGATGTGAGTTACGCTTTCCGAGGCAAAAACGCCACTCGGGAAGCAAATTCGAATTTAAGACATAATTGAGTTAGATCCTTTGTCTGTAACTCATAGAGTAATTTCGGATAGGGTACACCGTCTGCTTGTCACGCTATCTTATTTTCGGCCGGATAGATTCGTGCAACTTCTTAGTCTAATACCGATCCTAATCTTACTCTTATATCTACTAGTCTCAGGGTGTTTAACTAGTCTCTGCTATGCTCAATAGATCTAGAGTGTACTGGCTTATTGCGATTGCTGAAGTTCTCTTGGAGAGGTAACTAATTTCTAAGTTAAATTCAAATCTCTCTGGTGCTGAAACTACAAGTAATTTCAGCACTTACAAATAAGTGGGTTGTTAGTTAGATGGATCATGATTGGTTAATATTAAACATTTTATAGTGATAAAATATCTAAATTATGTCCAATAATAAAATGTAGTTTAGATCAGGTTCCACCATTGCGAAAACAAACCTTTAAATTTGCTTTTAATGATAAAAATTTGACCCTACTGGAAAATGCGATTTGAAGATACAGTCAGACATTTGTAAGTTATTTCTCAAAACTCTAACAAGGGTTTTGAGCTTATAAGTTTTTTTTGGTGCTTTGAGGGATTCATTTATTTAGTCTCGTTTAAATCTTCAATATGGAACAAAAAAATTCTTTACGGCCAAACAACGTAATCTGTTGTTGGAAGTTTTGGTTGGAACTTTAAAACTGATGAACAATTTTCGGACAGCTTTCTTGTCCGAAATCTAACTTTCAATAATTTTTAAAACTCAAAAAGTTTCAGCTGCAAAACGAAATATTGTAAAAACTTTGGTATTCTTACGATGAGATTTCAGAAAATGGATAGCTATTTCCTAAAATTTTGTCATTGTTTTTGAAAACTGAGCTTGTTGTTTTTCAAGTCCCTCTTTGACCTGATCATTGACCCCTTTTGATCTGATGAAAAACATCATCCGATTAATGGAACGTTTTGGCTCAACTCGGAGGTACGGAGGTAATTCTTTTCTATCTTCGACTTACAATTTTTTTGTAAAATAAATAAACACCATGTCCATGATCCACAAAAATTATGTCCCTAATTTTTTAAGAATTCATTCCCCAAAGGCCATGCTCGATGGTTAGACGAAGCTGATGCTTTTTTTTATCAGAAGCTATTTTAGTCAGAACGTGATTCTTCCGAATTTTGCAATTAAATTTAATTTTTCGATCAATTTTAGAATTCAAGAATCACCTAACAAAAAAACGTAGAATGATAGCAAAAAAAGGATGTAAAACCAAAAAAATTGGAATAATTATTGAGTCGTAATACGTGAGTATTCTTTATTTAAAAGCAACTTCTTTTTTTTAATAAAAAAAAGACCCAAAACATTGATTATCTAATGCAGTTCAAAAGAATCGCGCTACCGGATCTTTTGTAGAGAAACAAGCTTAGTTTAATTGTATCGCGGCTAAAATGGGTTAATTGATTACAATGAATTGAAATCGTTTTATTGTGCAGCAATGATGGATCATTATGAAAATATATAAGACATCAATTTTCCGTTAGAATGAATTTTATCAGTAAAACTCCGGTGCATGATTGCATGAAAAAATATAAAATGAGGGAAAGCAAAAAAAATGCTCAAACTTTAAAAAAGAACTAACCTTGTTCTGGAGGTGGCAAAACCATTGCGTTGTTGTCCAGAGCAAATCCGGGTCTGATTGGGTAGTCCGTGAATTTGAGTTTAATTGCAGCACGTTGACTTGGCCGCAACTTACGACTTAAGCAATGCTCGTCTGGGCATTGCTGATTCGTCTTTGAAGCGAGCTGTATTGCACATTTCCTACAAAGACAATGCCCACATGGAATCTCAAATGTGTCCTCCGTGTAATGGAAAGTATTAGTGCACCCGCGACACTCAACTGAAGTGTCATCGTCCACACCACATAGAGGTATGCGTCTAAGTGTCTCCATAGTAGTTAAACGACAGCAGTGACACTAATTCTCTTCTGGTATGGGGACTTTGCGAGCAGAAGATTCAATTTGGTCCAGCTTCTGACAGATGCTTTGGCCTTATGGGCTGGGATTTGGAAAAGGACCTAAACAAAACATCACGACGAGTTAAGAGTTAAAGCATGCATTTCATTAAAAAAATAGCTGCTGGAATTGAACGTAAACTTATCATTCTACCCTTTACGAGTCGCGTTGCAAAAAATTTTAGGAAAAAACAAAAAAAATTGGGTAGGATTGCGCGCGACAAAAATTACTGTTCATAAATTATAAATCTTTTGTTAAGCCAGTAAAAAATGTACATTCATACAACTCATTCCACAACCCTATCATTCTACCCTTTACGAGTCGCGCTGCAAAAAATTTTAGGAAAAAACAAAAAAAATTGGGTAGGATTGCGCGCGACAAAAATTACTGTTCATAAATTATAAATCTTTTGTTAAGCCAGTAAAAAATGTACATTCATACAACTCATTCCACAACCCTGTTCAAATATCTTTCAAAATCTGAAATTTAACTAGTTAATTTCTTTTAGATTCTCATCATTTAATTTTCCTATTATAGAATTTATCATATACTTCAAACAAACTAGATTATATTAGGACTTGTTTGTATATCAGAGTAAAACCTTGAATGCTCCTCTTGTCTTTAGTATTGAGTAGTTCTTGATAAGAAAATGAGTAGTAATAAATCAACCTAAGTATAAATCATTAACGTTAGATGAATGAAAACTGCATGACTTACGTAACTGTTAAATGTTACTTAATTGTTATATAAAAATTAAGGATTTTTGGCCGGCTGATATGGTAGCTGGCTTTTACTTCGGTTGGCTTATGTACTAACCAGACTGCTCATATCAGGGAAAAGCACTGAATGTTCGGACTGCCCTTTTAAGAAGTGTTCCAAAATCATTTTAAAAAGTTTTTTTGATTTTTTTTTTGCGAAAATCATAATCCGATACACAATGTAAAGTACAAAGTAATGTTTACTCTGATTGAAGTATGAATGTAAGTTAGAACTATAAAAGCATATAAATTAGCTATAAAAGCTATAAATTAAAAAGAGCTATAAATTAAAAAGAGCTTTAAATTAAAAACAGAGAGGAGCGTTGGCCGAAAGGATAGCGCAACTGCGCATAGTGCGCATAGATAGGTTTTAATTGACTATAAAAAGTCCTTCGGCGCGGGTATGAGGATCTCGCGGCGGAAAGTGTTTTACAATTTTTATAAAATGATTAAGCAATAAAAAACTTATACATTGTAAAACCAATTGGTGTTGACCATTTCTCACCTCTGAAAGAAAAAACGTTGACTCCAAACTGATGTATTTGCTGTCAATCATTGATGCTAAATTTACGTACCATTACAGCAATTTATAGAGTGTTCGTTGAGGATCTGACCCCAAACGAATAGAGGTAGAAACATAGTCGAATGCTAAGTTATTTAGACAAAAATCAGTAAAAGTTTGACAGCAACCCGATAATTCTTGACAAATGTATCGAGGCAAAGTTGCAACTGCGCGAAAACCAATCGTAATCCGTCAAACCTATTAACTCATCGAGTAGGACAACGAGTCACATTGGCTTAATTCTGATCACAAACTGAAGACATGTCAGCTTTTACGTCAGGTTTTGAGTTAGCTTCAAACAGAGGCATGTTCAGGTGTTTTGGGACTGGGAGAGGCCTATTCAATATTTGTGCCGAAGTGGCAAAAAATACCATTTTACAGGTATCGCGTAAGACCTAATACAGTTATTGCGATAGTGGAAGCAGACAGTCGGAGGTGTCCCCAGCAAGAAGTGTAACAGCTTTGGTAAGAATTATGACTGCTCATCAGAAAGAGGGACACGGTAGTTGGAGTTTACAATGGTGTCACGCCATCTACCAAAAAAGTGCAAAGTGCGGAACAAAAAAAGTTCACAGAAAAAACTCTGTATGCTACTTTCAATACTGAGCTGTACAAAAGGTATTGATTGTTGCCAACCTGCCTTGAATCATATGTGCTCAATTATCAAATTTAATGTGTTCGAGAGCTTTCACAAAATGTGACCACTAACTGAACGCAAAAAATTATCAATAAAAACCTATAAAAAAAATTCATATAATTTTTTGTAAGGTAGCAAAAAAGGGCTGCTAAAATTCGGCATAATCAAAATTTTTTCACGCAGTTTGAATATGAGTACCGGAATTCAAGCAGTCTGAATATGAGTATCGGAAGTCAACTCCAAGGATGTTTAAAAAATTAGAAAACCTTTTGGAAACATTTTGGATGATCAACGCTGAATTTTTCAAAATTTAGACGAAAAGCAGAGATAACGTAAGCGTTTCGTAACTTAACTTTCTGATAGACCCGTAGCCATATATCAATTCTATCTCTTTGAAAATTCCAACTACTCTTTTTTCCGCGCAGCGGTTGAATTCTCAAAATCTGTTCAACTTGATTTTCATCTTTTTTCAATTTCTTTGTCGAATGAATCCATAAATTTACATCCAAGCCGCTTGTTAGTAATATCTCCCACTCCGAAATCGCAATCCAAAACCGCAACCTCCTAAATCGCAAAAATCATTTTCTGGTTTTTGTCTTGCTATTCTTGTTTTGAGTTTCAATTACAAAGCAGTAAAATGAAAAAAGGCTCAATTTCACTTTATCTAAAATTTTTTATCTAAAAGGAACGATATAGTAACCTGGCAACATTTGCCTAGTATTTCTGTCAGCCAACATGCTTGTAATAAAAACAGATCTCTCTCGCAGAAAACAAATAAACATGATATAACTGCTGTTATAAACTGTCATTGTATTATTACCCCGAGCTTCTACCTTTTCCTATGTTCATCTAGTATATTGTTATTAAGTGTAACGACCGGTATAATATCAAGATGAAAAGCGAAAGATGAGCTATTATTGTGCCTATCTTGAAATTCATCAGCAAGTTCACCTTGAACTAAAAATATTTACGACAGTCAGGAGCTATTATTAAATCCTTCTCAAAATTAAAAAAGCAAAAGCTGTTGTTGAATTTATGACTATATCTTTTTTACCTATCGACAGAATCTGAAAGCTGGACTATTTTTCCCTTAAAACTAAATTAAAGTGTGACGATCATCTTGCAACTCCGTTTTTTTTTCTGTGAAAATCTGAGGAGTGACATAACACTTGACTTGAACACCCTTTTCTTCGGAAAGTCAACATTCACACATTCTGCACCTGAGTTCAGTTTGTAGTAATGTCAAACACGCCCAGTCAAGTAAAAATGGATGAGAGACGTAGTCTCTTGAGAGGCGTAGGAAAAATGAGGAGCAATTTTATCAACATCCTTTTGATTTCGGAGGCTCTCTCCCGTCAAATGAAAGGCAAGTTAAAGTTGTTAAGCTGATCAATCAATGTGAGGCAGTATAAGAAAACGCTACAAGAAAAAAAAATGATGAATTAGGCCTGCTCACTAATTATAAAGATGAGCCAATTAAAAAGCTCGCAAAATTTGAACTGTGGTTAAAAAAAAATAGCCGACGTCCACAACAAACTGCTGAAAGAAACACAGAAATACCTAAACTTGAATGAAACTGAGCGTTTGAATTTAAGAGATGAACAATCTCAAGAATCTAAACATTCTACTATCTTCAGCAGATCAAACCATTGCAGCTTAGCACAATCTAGGTTTGACACGACGTGAACTTGAAGTCAGAAAAGTGCATCGCGAGGCAATTTAAACGGTAGAAAAAGTCTGATAATTGCCTTGAATAAAAGACAAACGAGTCGCAACAAGAACAGTTTGTCCAACACAATCATAAGTAAAATTGTCGAAATTGATCTTAGAGACGACAAATCAGGGATGGATTTTAAAATTAACAAGATAATTCTGCCATCCAGCGTAACTCGAAATGTTTTTCCACGGAAGACTGGGTGGATGTCTTCATCGTTAATTAGGTACCTTATCTCAAGCAACGAATGAAATGGATGTTGCTCCTCGAGATGGCTTACAGCCATTTAACCGTTTCAATTTCTTTGACTCATCTTACTTACCGGTAGCAATTTATCCGGAGTGTATTTCCTTCGCTGTTCCAACATGTTTCAAAACAAAAACTGCTCTCTCATCAGCATCAATTAAGCCCATCAACTCTGGCAGTTAATTACGTCAACGTAATTTTCACAAACAATTGTCTAGTCGACATACCTTATATACGTCATCTCAATTGTTAAACTCAAGTTTTAGCCTCCCTCCGCTTTCGATTCTTGCTCAACCTACATGCTTTTCATCGGTACAAACGACATTTATTCATCTTCAATTGCATAATTATTCACAGATCATGCTTTTAGGAGGCTTGCAACCTCAACACGGTGGTATTATTGTTAAATTTTTTGCACTACAGTTGGGATCTTCTGCATATGTCACAAACATAATGCAACCATTTGGTTCTTATAGCTGATAATAGGCGTTTGACCTGCTTACTACAGCCCACAAATGCAAGGCTAACACAGCTAAGAAACACAGCAACATAAACATACCGAAAAAGTTTTCTGGCCGTTAAATTTTAAAGTTGTATGAAAATGCTTCGAAAAAACAGAAACACTTTAAGAGTAGTGTCCAAAAACTTTCAAGATGATTTTGACAACGTTATACTCAAGAGGCAAACCACAGAGTATCTTCCTCGCCATCCGGTGACAACAAGCCGGAAAAATTTTGGCGCGTCCTCAATGGATGATCTATATTTCACGGATCCTCCCTCAACAAATCTCTTCTGGTTGGTCCAGAAGTGCATCAAAAACTTCGGTCAGCGTCAATATGCAGTATCTGCTGATATGTCAGAAATGTTCTTACAGCTTGGCGTTCTACAGCTGCGGATTATCAACAATCATAATCACTGCGATTCAAGTGGCGAAAGAAAACCACAAACGATCTGACATTTTACCAAAACAACCGATACATATCCGAAGCTCGGGAATCCATGCATGTGCTTGCTTCGCAATTCAAGAAATCAAGCCGTGACAATAAAGCCTGTTTTTCAGAAACAGCTTCTGCAGTAGTGCAAAACTTATGTATGGGCAATTATCTTGTCTTGTCGAAACGCCTGATGAAGCTTTGAAACTAAAGAATGACCACATAGAAATTCCTAAACTAAAAACATCTAAATTGACAAAGTTTGTAGGTAATGAAATGATATACAAAACCAGTTAAGCACTTCAAACAACAAATTAAGTCACGTCAAAAACCTTAGACAGTCAAGATAAGACATCACATGTATTAGGTTTAAAGTGGGACCGCATACATGACATATTAGTTCCCAGTCGAGGTGTAAATAGAAAACTGAAAAACATAAATTTACGTACAAAACGCAAGATTCCAAGGTTTTGAGTCCTCAGTTTTTAATTTTTTCACGGTTTTCTTCAGTTTTCTATTGGGTTGGGAGCTTCATACACTTTGAAAGCAGTCTCCTCTTAAAAAAGTTTAAAATAATCAGTGGTTAACAGTGGGATGACCCCTTCCGGAAAACTCAACTGATACGTTTCCGAATGGTTTTCGGGCATACCCATCTGAGGTCAGCTAACATTTACGTGCTGCTATTTTCCATCTGCAAAAGACAAAAAATATATATGCATAAGTTTGGCAATAGCTTTCAAGAAGAATTCTATGCAGTTGGATTTCTTCGTTGAATATTCCCGAGATCTTCTTTTATTCCCGAAATTTTCTTCTATTCTGGCTAAAACCCGACTAGCGCCAGCGATTGCAATGTAAATCTCGAATTGTAAGCTTCCCTGTTGGCCACGCGCCGTAAACGGTAAACGGTGTCTTTATGTGGACAAACAGCATAACCGTTCTCCAGTGGCTCCATTCCATTCGTCATCGAAGCAACCATTTTTCGTCGCTTACCAAGTAAGCAAAATACTGGTAAGCAAAGTCACCACCGTAGACAATTGATATCATGTCGATACGGGCTCAATCCGGGTGAGTACAGGTACTCCAGTCAATGCCACCGACTTTTTAGAAATCAGCAACTGAATGCAAGATCCAAGCTTTTCAAGAACCCGTGACTGACCATTCTGTCTAATTGTTGACTTAGTAACAAAAAAAAGTTTCCAAGGTCCCGTTGATGATGTTATTGTTACCGCCTCTAATTTTGTCGCATATCGGTCGACCATCAAACCCGTTATAATTTGGCCTCAATCCAGCTCATTTATCAAGCTGTTACGCATGGTAGCGTTCATCTCCCGATTAAATCCAAAATTGCATCATTACACTGATGCAATACTTGGATATCAATTGTGACACCTTGATGGTCACCTTTTAGCGAAGTCATTTGTAGCTTATCTGCACAACCATCATGAGCATTATTCTATGGACTATCTACGTTGTTTAATCTAGTTGGTTTATGACATCTGAATATTAAAGTCCTTACTTTGCAACATTGAAATCAACTGCGTAATTTGCGCTTGAGAGTGGAAGGACCTTACCCGCCCTTCTTGTACAGGAATGTATAGAAGAGACATACAACCATTCAACAACGCCACACCATCGGGGCTAGTGAAAAAGGATTGTACATACTTGCAAAACAGTGTTCTACTCAATTCTCAAGCAATTTTCTGGCAAGAAATTTTCAAGCAAGGTGTTCACGCAACTTTCTGGCTCGAGGAACAGTCTTTAAACTCGCAGATACTAAAGACTTTAATTGAACAGAAAGTCTTTAGTATCTGCGCGTTTAAAGACTGTTCCACGAGCCAGAAAGTTGCGTGAATATTTCTTAGTGGGACATAGCATTCCGTGAGTTATCCTTCAGTCCTTACGGGCGATCAATTGATCACCGCAAGCTCTACTTGCGTGCACAATCTTATAACAACGCCATCTTGACTTGATGATTACGAGAGCACATGTTTTATCTCAAAAACACCATTAGTGGCACAAACCCGCTGAACACGACTGTTTGTAGATCTTGCTGAAGTATCGATTAAAGTTGACCCAGTGGGTACTATATCCTAGCCCATATCCTAGGTCACAACTATGGCAAAGATGCGATCAACAGCTCCGCACTCCTGAAAACTGCTGCAGAGATTTATATCATCCTCATGCAAAACTCTTGTTTGTCCTCGCTCCTTTGGGGCCGGATGATGTTTAATTGAAATACGAATATAAAGCTTGAACTTTAAAAACATTAAGTTAGACACAGTCAAGGCGCAATGGCCGAAAGCTACAGCAACTGGGCATAGGTAACAATTAACTATACGAGATGTTCTTCGACGCGAGCTCGAGACTCTCTTGGTTCAAATTATTTTTTTATTTTTTTTTCAAACTTAGTAATAACGTAAAATCAAGTTCTTAAAAGGTAAAGATAATCAATTTCGACCTTTTCGGCCCCCGAAAAGAGAAATTTTTAGCTGCAAATTTATAGTGTCACGCAATCTTAATTCATTATGTTGCTTGCTTATATCTTTTGTTGAATTAACCGAGTTTTGGCTTTTGAAATGATGACTGTGGACCATTCGAAGTTTATCAGTAAATTACGAACAACCCCCGGTTCGATCTAACCCACAAACCCCAAACTAATTGCGTTTGAAACTGTTAATTCGACAAACTGGGTGTTAACTATTTTTTCTATTCTCAAAACTTGTCTTGATAAAGACCGAAGCTTCTATATTCCGCATTTCTTCAAAATTTTGTTCATGTATTTGTTACTGTTAGTAGTCCTCGACAGCATAAAGCATCAAAACTTTCGAACAAAATTCTTAAGTTAACCATTTGTTTCGACCATGTTCCATTCAATTTATTTCATACAGCAATTTTCTGAGCTTGAGAGATAACATGGATGCAATAGAGCTTGGTATTATATTAAAAATCAACCGAAGCTGATATGCAATCTAAAATAATTCGAAAAAAATTACACTAGTATCTTGATTTTACCCCAAATTTTAAGAAGTACTCGCTTGGTTGAAAAATTCGATCGTAATTGACGGCGTTGAATAGTGCCGATCTACAACAGCATTAAAAACGAAAAAACTTCAGCAGTGCAGAAATTTGATGATTATCGGCACTGCTCAACAACATTTTCTTTTGTTAACATTGTACTCCGACACTGTTTTATTGCCTCCCGCAATCTTTGTGGGAAAATAGTTTCGCGTTATTAGAATATTTTGACATTTATTGCAAAAAAATGCGAAATTTGCTTTCGTATCCCACTTGGTCACAAGAAAAAGGCAGAAAAAAAACTTTTGATAAATTTTGCAACACGAATTCAAATTTTTTTGACTTGACTTCCAAAATGACATTCAGTTTTTGATTTTGAAGACGTATCAATTTATTCAAGATTTCCCCTTCTAGGTAGACGTAAACGACATTGTCTACCCAGCTTATGCAAGAGGACTAAAATTGAATGGCTGCCATTGGGAAACATTTTTATCAGTTTCTAATCAAAAGAAAGAGTCAGTTCATTAGCCGCCATTTTAAGAGCAGCTCGAGATAAACAGTGAAACAATCAAAAAATCTTTGCAAAATAATTTGCAACAATTTTAATTGAAACAAACAACTCACAACTTGCGCCGATGATATATGCTGACAATTTTTGTCAAGCACTTGAGCAGGGGCGGATCTGGGATTTTCTCGAGGGGAGGGGGGATTTTCAAAAAAATTTGACGACTGTTTTTAGGTTGAGCAAATTGATTTTCTGAGCTCACCTAAAGCACTACAAAGACCCTGTTTTTACCAAAATTTCTGCGCCGCAGACAAAATTTTGAAAAACCGGGCCAAAAAAGGCGTTTTCAGGCACTTTTTGGAAAATTTTAACCAAAAAATCGCGTTTTTTTGGCGCGCGCTCCCCCCTCAAAATTAATATAGATTGGCGCCCAAGGCGCCTTTAGAAAAATTTTAGGGTCCGTCACCAAAAATGGATATCTCAAAATAGTACAGAGGGGGACCCTTTGGGTCGGCAGGGGGTCGAATTCCTGAGGAGGAGGGGGAACGTCCAACCCCCCGCCCCCCCTAAATCCGCCCCTGAACTTGAGTAATCATGTAAGACACTGACTATCGGGTTTTAAAAAAGTAAATTTTTGCTTTCATGTATAGCTTGATTTCCCCCATACAAGCCACAAACTAAATACAGATGACTCCATTTCTCAAGCGTTGTTTGGATCAACAAATTGGATTATTTTTTCTTTGCGACAAACGATTTAAGAAAATAGCTATTCACTTGGTAAATAGTTAATTCAAAACATAAAAAGTGGTCATTTTCAAACACTTCAAAAAACAGGTAACAACTGAAAAATATCATTTTTTTATTTTAACCGAAACAGCACAGCGTCTTGGAAAAAAATGAAAACGGCATTGGATAAAATGGAAAACTAATTTTCAGATACGCTTCCACGACAATTTGCGAAATGAAGCCAAAATAGAATCTTTTCTAATACACGCCCAAGTTGATAACCGGTACGTCATGAAAAGTATAAATAAACTAAAACCGAAAGTTTGAAGGCTGCGATTTTTTAAAATAGAAATGTCGACAGCTCAAGTCATCCAAAATGGTTATGATTTTGAAACTGATCATGAAAACTTTACCTGGCAAAAGAAGCTTTAATATCTTGTTAATAACTAAAAGTAGTTAATAACTAAAACTTGTTGATTCGAAATTATTCTAATGACTGAAAGAAAAATCTTTGATTTTCTGCAGGTTAAAGTTAAATAAAATCGACATTTGAAAAAACTATGCGTGTTTGCGAGCTAGTGATAGTAATTTGAACAAGTTATCAAAAATGGTTTCACTTTTGTTTACGTATATTATGAAGTTAGAAACATCAAAAAAACACACTGCACATTGTTAGAAACTATTTTTGCACGTTCAACTATTTTAAATATAGAAAAAAAAACAATTGCTGCAAATAAAATCAAACTAAGTTATGCTAGCTAAAGTCTGGTGATATATTCAAGCGGTCGTTGCGTGAAAGATTGTTGTAGAACTTTCAATCAGAAATGTTTTTGTAGCATGGATTTATTTGTGGCACGGGCGTACCAACTTTCAAATATATATTTGGCATAAAGTTTAGAATCCAAAACATTATAATTCTGGTAAAAGTCCGCGTTTTATGTCCATGATGGTTCTGTTTCTTTGTTGACAGCTTTCTTCGGTGGAATTTTTTTTTCAAACCACGACCCGAACCGCATAATCTCGGTCGGATTTCATAGTGCGAAAGCCTAGATATAAAGTTGCATATAAAGCCTAAAAAGTAGATATAACGCCTTATTCCAAGATTTTAACCGAATTCGCAAAGGTCGCGACCTATTTATACACTTTCGCTACTTATGTTTAGACTCTCACCACTTTCACAGTCTGGGCAGAAAGTCGCGTACCTACAAGACTGATTTATATTAAGCTGATTTAAACTAAATATTGAATTAAGACTAGACATAAATCAAAGAGACCAAAAGTCGCTCAAAAATACCAAAATTATAGTGGTTCAAGTTAATTTGTGAAATTCGGAACCAAATTTTCACCTCAAAAAGGGAATTTATAAAAGAATTACGATAAAACTACAAAAGGTGATAAAAATTAATGAATTATATCAAATGAAGCTTCTTACACTGCCCAGCAAAGTTCTAGAGTAGTACAACCTCCATAAATCTGCATAAGAGAATAATATATTTTTGCTTGAAAGCCAAAAAGTATCATATTTACTATATGTAACGATTTGAAAGATTTCAACCTCGTTTGTTTTGTCCGGATAATTCAAATCAGTAGAAGAAGAAAAATTACGAGAAAAAAAATAAGTATCTGCGTTGCCCATACGCATCAAAGTCATGGCCTGAATGACCTGGTTGTTTACAAATAACGACAGGCCATGTTGTTTTCCAAACTTGTATTAAGCTTAATCAATACATTCCTTGTGGACGTTCTGTCAGTGAATGAGGATCGTGAAAATGAAAATGTCATCACCAGAAAGAAGCTTTGAGTTTCTTGTAGCCGTTTAGATTTTCTAAACTTTTCGGCAAGGAAGTTTAAAAACTACAGGGTCTTTCAGTTAGAATGGTTTTTTTGAAGCGTCTATAACTTTTAAATGGAACATTGGATTTAACTGATTCTTTTTACATTTATTATATAACAGATTAAGATTCTTGAACACGTACATAAGAGTTATAATAACTGCTGGAAATGTCCGCCATTTTCTTGAATACAAAGCAGTAATCGCTTCTCAAAATTTGTTGCTGCTTGCACTGCCTGCGCCAGAGTTATTGTTCCACAAGCGTTCTCCACAGTTTGCATAAGATTTGGGACTGTCTGGGGGTTGGCATCAAAAGTCAATTTACCCAAATGACCCCATAGCCAAAACTTCAATGGATACAAAATTTGGCGCGAGGATTATAAGCAGGAGGAGTGCAATTCCTTGGCCTCCCAAAGCCCGGACTTGAATCCATTGAATCTTTGGCTATGGTGTCATTTGGGTAAAATGATTTTTGATGCCAACCCTCAGACAGTCCCAAATCTTATACAAACTGTGGAGAACGCTTGTGGAACAATAACTCTGGCGCAGCCAGTGCAAGCAGCGACAAATTTTGAGAAGCGGTTACAGCTTTGTATTCAAGAAAATGGTGGACATTTCCAGCAGTTATTTTAACTCTTATGTTCGTGTTCAAAAATTTTAATCTGTTATATAATAAATGTAAAAAGAATCAGTTATATCCAATGTTCCATTTAAAAGTTATAGATGTTTCAAAAAAACCAATCTAACTGAAAGACCCTGTATCTTTCATTGAAAAAAAAAATTGGCCACATGCAATGACAGAAACTGAATTATTAGTTTACGCCATTGACGCTTTGTTTGGCTATTTTTTTACCTTCAAATAATTATATAACGACAGGGCAAACATTTAGTTTCTTCCAAATTATTTGAGGCTCATGTGACAAAGTTGAAACAGCACTCGCATTTTTAGTAGTTTTTTAACCTGCAAAAAGTTCACACCCACACTGCCCGAATATAAATATTTACAAAAATTGTTTAAAAATCAAGACTTTTGCTGAGAAATAAAAACAACTGGTTTTAGAAATTAGTAATTAGGACAAAAAATAGTTAATCATCTTCATTATAGCTACTCAGAGAAGTTTGGACTACCATAGAACTGTAGTAGGATGGAAACAAATCTCAGCAGGCTGGAAGCTACGGTAGGATAAGAAAAAAAATGCAGCTATTTTTCAGCTGATGAGTTTTGTAAAAAATGCAAAGATATGCAAACTTGGCTTCCCCTTTTGATACTTTTTGAGAAATCCGTTTTTGGCCGACTGACCCTAAAATTTTTCTGAATGTGCCTTTGGCGCCAATATATACTAACTTTGAGGGGGAGTGCGCGCCAAAACAAACGCGATTTTTTTGTAAAAATTTTCCAAAAAGTGCCCAAAAACGGCTTTTTTGACCTGTTTTTTCAAAAACTCGCCTGCGGCGCAGAAAATTTGCCCTAAACATGGTCTTTTTAGTGCTCGAGGAGTGCTCGGAAAATCAACTTGGTCCACCCAGAAAAAGGTCGTCAAAATTCTAGATCCGCCCCTGCAGTAAAATATAATGTTATTAAAGCCATTTGAATCAAAATCAATATATTATTTGTCGTCACTTATCATGTTTTGCATTAAATAATTTTATTTTGATATCTGAACCTAACCTAAGTCAATCAATCAATTTGAACTGGGCAAAACTGTAAACAAGAAATACAAAAAATTGTTTCATAAAGACGATTTTAGCGCTGATGGCAAAACGACAAGCACTGTCGCAATAAAATATCGCAAAAATTACTGCTCTATCGGCCCTTTAAAACAATTTTATCTCAGCCCAATATCTGTTTCAGGTTGGTTCTAACAATAAACAGGACTGCTCGTATCAGGGCGAAACCCTGAATGTTCCGACTGCCATTTAAGGTTTATGGGGCAATAAGAGCGTCAGAAGTTATGTGTAAAAAAATGAAAAAAACTTGTTTTTCTAAAATTTGAAATTTTCAGGAAAATCATCCCCCCATACTCCATATAAAGTACAAAAGGATAAATTTTGCTCCTTGTAACAAATCAATTATGGCAAATAAGCTTCTTTCAACCAATTAGGAACGATTTCTAAGACGGATTAAATCTCCGCTTACGCGTTAATAGCGCGAAATATATCGCATCGCGCGTTAATTTTCCCAAATTGGCCAAAATGACAATGTTTAAACCCCCAAAACTTTAAGAAAAACGGTCACAAGTGAAATATTTTTTCAAATTTGAGCTCAGGACAACAATATTTTTCGAAGGATATATAAAAAAAATTTCATCAAAAATGGCTAGTTAAAAAGTCGAAATTTGTCTGAAGAAAAAAAACCCACCCCGATCACAAACATTCCGTTACTTTCGTACCGAAAGTCGGAACAACACGCCTTTTCGAATGAGAGCAATAAATTTAACGTACAATCAAACAAATACTTAGGCAGAAAAGCTGCAATTCAAATCCTTAGCACGCTATTTCAAGAAGAGAATGATATATTTACATCAAGTAATGTACCGATGTTATAGAACCAAATTGCTTATCTAAATCAGGTCGGAAAAAGACTGTTCATTTCATGGCAAAGCCCTGACGTTTTAAACTACCACTAAAAAGCTATGAATTAGTTTTGATAATTTCTTTCGTTTTTTTGAAAACCTTTTCATTTTTTTGAAAACTTTTCCACGGCACATTATGTTTGGCATAAAATTAATCAAATATTGCTTAGCAACGCACTGTGGCGTGCCCAAAATTTTTTTTTGGAGGGGTGGTTTTTCAATCAAGGTTGAAATTTTTGTCAAGTTTTTTTTAAATCGATCAGTTTGATTTTCAGAGCTCTCTGAAGTTATTAGAATGACCCTATTTTATAAAAATTTTCTTCGCTGCACGCAATTTTTTGAAAAAAAAAAGCTAAAATTGCAATTCTTCCGCGCGCTACTCCTTCAATTTAAGTTAAATTGGCACCAACGGCGCCTTTAGAAAACTTTTGAGGTTGGTCAGCCAAAAATCGATGTCATAAAATTATACCAAAGGGGTCGCTTCGGATCCCCCTTCTCTCGTTACGTTACTGGCAACGCAAAACCTAGAAAAACTTGTTACAAATTAGAAATATTTTAAACCTTCATAAGTTCGCGGCAATTTGTCACAATCAAAAAATGAATATCTTTCTAAATTTGAGCTCAGGGCATTGTTACCTTTCAGATGACAAGCCAAAAATGATGCGAAGAAAAAAAAACACGAGCAAAAAAAACTTTTCATTTCTTATTAAACTGTGCTAATCAAAAAAATTAATCAAGGCGACAACTAATCAAAACACAGCTGGGGCAAATGAAAACAAATTTTAATTCTTTTCCTCATTTTTCTGACTTTCTATTTTTCAAAAAAGTGGCAGAGGCTATCGAATTTTATGTTTTTCTATTTTTGTCAACTTCTAAGAGAGGCAGCTCACAACTTCTAAAGAATTAACGCATAAAGTTTATATCTTCTAACCGTTAACAACAAGAAGGATGAAAACTAGCTACACTAAGGAGCGCCAGAAATGTAACTTCAAAGGTAGCTGCATCGCGCCATTGCGTGTAAGGGAAAAACTCATACGCAATATTTCATAAGT